TAGGTTGGAAAAGACCTCTAAGTGCATCGAGTCCAATGATTAACCCAGCACTGCTGTGTTCACCACTAAACTATGTCCTCAAGTGCCACATCCACATGTTTTCTGTACACTTGCAGGGGTGGTGGTTCCACCACTGCCCTGTGCAGCCTCTTCTCTTAGCAGCTCCTGGCTATGAGATGTGTGTGATGGAAGGGATGGACACCTTCAGTTTTACTTCCCAGTCTGAGTGTGTGGCAATCTTCTGGGTGGTTCTCCAGAGTTTTAGGAAGCAACCTGGAGATGCCAGACTGACACTGGTCTGTTCTGAAGGTGTTCCATGCTCCCATTATCCCAAACTGTGCATGTGTAGCCCATGTTGGTCCTTCCCTTGGCACTCAGGCACTGGAGCAGATGTTGTGACCAAAGCTGTCAAAACCTTATCCAGGAAAGAAGAGAAGCACTGGAGACTGGTTTTACTGCAGGACTTTAAGGGAGCATTAGCTAAATTGACTTGACTTAATAAAATCTTGATGCATTCCAGAAAGATTGTGAATTCATTAAGGCCACAGCTGGACAATCTGTTCCCCTCTGCTCTGCCATGGCTGGTTTATAGGCATTGAGGAGTGCTGTCATTTACCTTTTCTGTTTAATTACTGTAAAGCTATTCCGCACCCCCATGATTTTTTTTTTTTTTTTTTTTTGCCTGGCAGAGCTCTGCTCTGGGGAAATTAAACAGCAATTATTATGTTTGCTCACTCTGTTATACCATAACAGATACTTGAAGGTAAGTTGATGTGTGTGTGTGATTGGCTTCCATAGGAGCTGTCAGAACCTCTCCAATCCAGAAATGCACACACAGCCTTAATCCTCTGTTTACCCAAGGCAAGGCTAAACACAAACACAGGGCACAGCTTGTGGTGTGTGTTTTACATTTGAAAACCACTGATAAGAAGTGAGAAAGCTGGACGTGCAGACACCCCTGCGAGCTGGAGGGTAAGGAGTTAGAGGCTGCTCTGGAGGTGTGTGATGTGGTTTGGGGAGCTTAGTTGAGTTGCAGAAACATAGGGGTGAGAGCCAAGTGGGTGAAAATAGTGGGAGAGAGAAGACAAAGGTGCCACATGCCAAGGAAGCAATGCCCAACTCATGCAGGAGTGTGTGTTAGGGAGGGTGTGGGCTGTGGGGCACTCAGAGTCTCTCATCAGCTCTGGATTGCAAAGTTTCACCGCTGTGTTCTCCTGCTAGAGGGATCTGAAGCACGTCTCTCTCCTTAAAATAATCCCCAGAACAGAGCTAAAAGGAGATGAAGCATGACTTTTTTATATGCACCGACAACACGGAGTGAAATGGCCTTGGCAGCAGATTCGAGTCGTGAGCTCCGGATGTGTTTCAAAATTGATGAAAGCTGAGCTGTGGTTTTTAGTGAGGAGCATATCCCCTCTGTCTTGTGAGGCTTCAGTAGTGGGGAAGTGGGTGTTCCTAAGGAAATGTGGCATTAAAAGCCTTGAATAATACTTCTCACTTTGCTTTATGTGCGTTTGAGAAATGGCTTGGGGCAGTTAATCAGGTGTTAACATGGAAATGTGGAGTTGTGTCTGCAGAGGAATGAGGTTGGTGGTGTATCAAGAGGAGGTGAGGCTGATAATGTGAACAGGAGGAGAGAACTGAGGCTTTGGAAAGAGATGAACCTTCTCCCCACACTGCTGGGCAATGCTGGTCCTGATGGAGTTGATCTGGGAGGGCACTGACAGCACCTTTGAATGAGGCACAGTGCAGGAATTAGCTGCTTGTTTGAGGGGTGGTGGTAAAATAGACATGTGGGTCATTTTATTGGGGCTTCCCTTCTAATGTACTGCATTTATTGATAAGTGAGACAAATAGACAGTTACTGTATCAGCACCACAAGTTTCTCCTCCATCATCAGGCAGAGACCTCAACACAGGTAGGAGTTGCCTTGGTGTTTTCACCCATCCTTAATTTCTCACATTAGGAGGGTGTCACTCCTCTAGGTTGAGTGAATCTAATGCTGCAGTGAAGAAAAGCTCAGTCTGGTTTATCTTGTGTGAGTTGAGTGTGTGATCTTGGCAATACTGATCCTGCACAAACCACTCCAGAGGAGACATCCAGGGTGTTTGCAGGCTGTTAGGCTGGGACTCGATGATCTTTGAGGTCTCCCAGCCAGGCTGATTCTGTGATTCTGTGACTGTTCCTCTGGATGCAGACAATATCCAGAGGGTCCCAGCCCTCCACAGTGCCCAGTCCATCCCTCTGTGAGCTGTGGGATGTGTTGACTGCGAGACCTTGTGGTGAGGTGAGATCACCAGGAACAAAATGATCATTACAGGCCATTCATGTCAGAGTGTTCATGCTTTGCTGTTTGCTTGCAAGCAAAAGCAGCAGCTAATTTGCCAGGCAGCCTTTTGTCACGGGGCCTTTGATCAATGCTG